AAAAAAAAAAAAAACTATAAAGCAAGGAAAAAGATTTCAAACTTGAGAGTTAATTTGGATTTGTCATTTTGTAGTGTCCGAGTGTGCAGTTATGTTACCAATTAAAATTAGGAAAAACATAAAAAAATCATTTAAAATTAAAGAAAAAATATGTACAAAGATTCATTCTAATGATTGCATGCATGCTGTTTAAAATTGGATTATTTTTTCTTTTTAGGCAAATAGTTTCAAATTAATTCTAGTCAACATGAATATACAAAACTATTTCCACTCAATACTTTTCAATTAAGGGCAATATTTGGAAATAGGTGAAATAACATTTGGACTTTTTAATCATTTTCCAGACTAAATTTTTTCCAGTTTTAAGGTAACTTAAATTTAAATTCAATTTGGTAAGATATCCATGCAAGTTACCCTACCTGTCTGTCACACACATATATATATATATATATATATATAAGGGAAAGGAATACAGTTTTTGTCACTTGAATGAACTTGTTGAATTAGATAACTGATTTGTTAATCACAGAATAGGCCAAATATAAAAATGATGAAATGAAATATTTGTTATATTTCATCATATGCAGTTCATAACTGATGAGTGTTTTACTTTTCTTCTGAAACTTGCTAGTTTTAACCTGATTTTACATCAGAGTGGGCTTAATCTATTTTTGATTTATCATGTCCTAAATTCTTCAGTGTACCGTGTCCCTTCAGGAGGTGGGTGATCAAGCCTCTTCACAACTTTTTAGCCCATGCAGCTCTTAACATCTCTCTCTCGATTTATATATATATGTATGTGTGTGTGTGTGTGTGTGTGTGTGTGTGTGTGTGTGTGTGTGTGTGTGTGTGTGTGTGGAACAATAAAAAATATTAAAAAATTAAAATCTTCAGACCTACTGGGTTGTATATTAATATTCTTTCATTTTTATTATTTCAGTTAGAATCCTCAACATGGCCATCATCAGGAGAAAAAAAAATTTCTGCTTGTTACTAGCAGTGAACTACAGAAATGAATGACTTGGAGAAAATGAACTTTTGTCTGTAGTTTTATTTGTATTTTATTTTTTTAAAGTTTTTGAAACATGAATTTTAATCAGTCCTTGTGTTGGTCAAACAGTCTCTTAAGTTGTTATTTAAGATAAGAGCTGGATGAATTAATGCTGCTATGAATTCCCTTGGTCATTTTGACAGTTTTATTGGTTCCTGGAAAGGAGATGTCTCTGTTAAGTGTGTATGTTATTTGGTTCTTAGAGAGTGAGTGAGTATGATGTGTGTAAATGTGTATATTAGTATAGGTGTGTGTATAAGTGCGAGGCCTCAACACCTCCATAAGCATGTCTGTCTTGTGTGGGTGAGAAATGGGGCTAGGCCCTGATTTGTGGGGTTATATATTAATTCTATCTATGTTATTAAATCTGTGATTAAGCCCATCTGGATGGAGCATTTTTAGGCACCGAATCCACTTATTTTCATGTCCTAAAATCTTTCTAATGTTATCTGCTCTGAACTTATATATATATATATATATATATATATATATATATATATATATACACTAGCAGTATAACCAGTCTTCGAACAGGTCTTTCATTAATGGGAATTTTTGCTGCTCAATTGGAGTAGTTGTTTAAGTTTAAAGTTAGCCCACCTGAAAATCAATATTAGTAACAACAATTGGGTGCAACTGAGGCACATCCCCAAATGGGGGTTAACAATTTGAAGGGGGGGCTGAAATGGGAACTGTATAATAATAAATAATATTATTGCAACAATTTAAAGTATTTTTTTTTTTATTAGTTTTCATGAAAGATATATATCCAAGAACAGATAGTAAATACTAAAAAGTTGCTGAGAGTTATGCATATATATATATATATATATATATATATATATATTACAGGGTGTCCATAAAGTTCGTGTGCACTTTAAAAAATTTATAAGTGTATGTATTTGCGATAGAAATAATCTGTAAAAAATGTTATAAAGTTTAACGTACCTAGTTTTAAGTATAGTTATTGAATAATTCTTTACCACAAAATTTGCAACAATTTTTAGATAAGTAAAAAAATATTTTCTTTTTTCCAGCGTATTACCCTTTGAGTTGCTAATGATGGAGGACATGTGGAAACTTAAATAAAATTTCAATAAAACCTTAAAAAATATAGATTTACTTCTTTCTAATCCCTTTTTAAAAATTATTTCTATCGCAAATACAAATAAAGTTATAAATTTTTTAAAGTACACATGAACTTTATGGACACTGTGTGTGTGTGTGTGTCTGTGATTAATATAAATAAAATTTGTCCTTTAATTTAGGTTATATTCAGCACCTCGATCCTGAATTTTTGTAGATAAACAGTTTTGCAATCGTTCCACCCACTCGTCAGAAGATAAAAGTATTTGTTCATAATGAGATAGCAAATTTTTCTATTATTTTAGCTATTAGTAGGGAATGGTTTATTTTTGACTGTGTTAGATGCTTTTTTTTTTTTTTCTTTAAGATTTAAGTATGTGTTAACAGGAACATTGGTGTAAAGAGATTTAATATCTAGTCAGGGGTTTGTCATATCTATTCCCCTTAGTTTTTCAACTCGGTTGCCTGATTTTTTTTTTTTTTTTTTTTTTACATGTGATGATCTGATTGTTTCAATGAAGGTTCTAAAATAAAAATCTGCTGTCTCATCACCAAGCCATGCTATTTCACCCTTAACAATTTTTATAGACATTATATAAATGACCTCAGTGTTCACTTACATACATTATCTCTGATAGTGTATGTAAGTGAACCTTAAAACTGTATTTAAGTGGCCTTAAAACTATTTTTTTCTCATATATATATTTTCTGCTAGGATTATGCTCTTATATTGTATGGTAAAAGCCTTTTTATTCATTAACTGGTTTTGGTTATTCTCAAAAAGGATAAATACAATATCAATATGTTCAGATCTGGCCAATCTGTTTGGAAAAGGTTAAAAATCCAGGAATTGTTCAAACCTATTATCTTAAAAGCAAAAAAAATAAAATAAAAACATCTATTTTAATCTAAAGATGTTCTGAAGCACTAAGAATCATCTTTGTCAAAGGATACTAATAAAATATTTATCATTACTAATAAAATATCCAAGGATACTAATAAAATCAAAAAGTTATTTGTCCAAGGATATTAATAAAAATCAAAGTTAACTTCCAACTGGCCTTCTCTGGAGATTATCAGTCAGTTGATATTTCACTTCAGTCTTTGGGATATCCAAGATTATAAAATTAGTTAACTACTTTCTGCAAAAGTCCTTATTAGAATAAATTAAAAAAAATCTCCACTAATTATTTTCAATTAACAAATTTCCATTTGCCTGTATTTTCTGAATTACTAATAAGTTTTTTTTTGTATGTATTATATACTGCCATTTATTTGAACTAGTGCTCTCATTTTGGTTGTTATAGTCATGCTTCAGTAGCTGTACCCTCCTGCTTTTACATTTAAGATTCCAGAAATTTTGAAACAAACCCTTTATTTGATCCACAGGGGTAGATTATTTCACTGACCTAGAGATTGAACATACCTTTATATCTTTGTTATTGTTCACTATGCCAATCAAATAGTGGAGTTTTTATAGACTTAAACTTGAGACTCTAACAAGACAAGTGAAACATGACCAAGATAAGAATATCGGTAGAAATGCAAACTGACAGTTAATAAATCATATATATAACCTAAATTTATATAATTTAAAAAGTATTAAAAAAAAAAAAAAAACATTTTAAAAGCAATAAAAAAAATCTTTAAAAATTATGTATAATTACCATAAAGACCTTTCTTCTTTTTTTCTTTATTTTAGAAATCTTTAGATTCCCATGAAATTAAGGTAACTGATGAAGCCATTAACAACAATAATGAAGTGGCTGCACTTCATCTTTCATTAACAGATTTATTAAAAGGATTTTTTTAAATTTAGATCCAGACTAATAAATTTAAGGTTTATTTTTGCTGTATAATAGATTAATTTTTAATCATTAAAAATATGCAAACAAAATTTATTCATTGATGTCTAGAAGACATCTGAACATGTCCACTTTGATGATATATAGACAAATTTAATATTTTAACATATTCCGCGCACATATATATATATATATATATATATAATATCCTGATACTAGCTAGTCATTTGTTCAAAACCCTACAAAGCTAATAATTTTGCCAGATTAAGATCAAATTCTAATAATACTTTAGATTTATTATATTACTCTTTAGGATAATTATTCTTAGTATGTCTCCTAGTTCCCTCTCCCCAGAAGTGTGGATGGTGTAATGGATAATGGTTTGAAATGAGAAATCAAAGCCGAGTTCAAATTTCAGTCAGGTTCATTAGATGAATCCATCTCTTCTCCCCCCCAATAGGACATGTATCTTAGAGAGAAAAAAAAATGAATTATTCTTAAAATCTAAAAATGTTTCAACTTAAAATAACCCACATACGCTGCAAAGAAAACAAAATCAATCAAATGAATCAATCCCCCCCCATTATCTCCCATAAATGCTTCTTTTTTTTAAATCTAAAATTTTCACATTTTTTATATATTATTCTCAGTTGAATCCGTATCACACATTGCTCAACTTAGAGACACTGATCCCAAATTATTCCAACTGTACATCAATCTCTTGGATCAATATAGACAACTGCTTATGAATTTATATTCATACCAGCCAAAAAACTACAGACACCTGATCATGACCAAAGGGTACTTGGCCAAAATGTTGTATAATGACATCTTTAACAACAAAGACGGGAACAAGTTTGAAATAAAATATATTGACAATTACTCATCTCAAAAATGAAATACATAATTTATATAACATTTAATGTCATTGATAGAATTAAATTTAAGTGCAAGTAAAATTGAAAATCTTTTTAAAAATTAACATTTTTGGATTTTGACTAAAAGTGGCCTCTGTGTTTTGTGTGTGAGAGAGAAGGAGAGAAAAGAAATTTACTTACCCACAGAGGTGTTCCTCCACAGAATTGCTGGAAGTTATTTGAAGCCATTTATCTGGTAAATGGCTCTTTGTAAATTGTTCTTTAAGAAAAAGCCAGCTACTTGAACTAACTTCTCTAACCAGTTGTCGTCCTACCAGCAGAATTTTTAGGAAAATCCAACAAGTGATTATATCTTGATCAACTTAGACCCACCAACTGCAAGCTACAAACAAAATATAAAAATAGTATGTATACAACTTTCAAGCAATACCTAAATCAATACCAATTCAGTTAAATTCAGCACTCCCAGATTTCTTTCAAGTAGGCAATGAAACGGCAGAAATTTGAAAATTCCTTTATCACATTTAAGCTAAAAAAAGTATATGTCACTGTCAACATGGTTTTACACAGGATAGGCTGATGACAAAAGATTACATCTTTCTCAGTCAGGACTACTATATCTAATCTTGTTTTTATAATTAACGTCATGATATACTGATAGGTTTATCTTACTTTATTTCACAAGTTTTGCTTTTTATTATCATCAATTCCATTAAGTTAAATCTCATCTTATGTGTCCAAGACAGAATGTAATAAAAAGACATATTAAATAAAACCAATTTAAAATTTGAGTTCTCTTTAAGAAGCTCAGGTAAATTTAAAACTAGGCAATGTGATTTATTTTCTCAAAACAAAATTATACCAAACAAGATTTTAAAATTTGATTTCTAAATTTTCCATATCAGGATCACAACTTATATTTTGATGACATCTCTAGAGACAAATTAATCCTGAAAACTTTAGATTGATATTTTAAAGAATTGGAAAAATCAAGCTTGCAACAAACTCAAAAAAAAAAAAAAAATCCATTTGAACTACTTACTACTTGTTCAACCAAGCTGAAATTTTCAGGATTGTATTTTTAACTTGTCAGTAAGAGTCTTTAAGGTGATTCGATTACAATTTTTGCTTTTTTTTTTTTCATAAAAAAGTTTTTATCAATTTCACGGTAATAAATTCGTTTCCGATTTGCACTCAGGTAAATTAAATTAAGAATAAGGTGAGGAACACCCCTACAAAAAAAGTCATTTTTGAAGTCTTTTCTACTCAACACCCCGCAAGTATTAGTCTGTAAACGTGTAAAAGAGGTGGCAGTATTATAGATTTTTTTTTTTTTTACTTTACAAATGTATTTTTACCTTATCGTACGTAAATATTTTTAGAGTGAATGCACTTTCTTTACCAAAAAGTTGAGATTTCAATAATTTCTATTTGAAATAAATAATCCAGCCAGAGTATTTTGCTTCTTACTGGAAATAGTAAAAAAGTTAAAAAAAAAAAAAAAATGCTTTTTTTTTTTTTTTTTCCATTTTTAAAAATTAATTTTAAATCAAGGTATCGAAACTGATTGGAAGTACCTTGTTTAAATTTTAAAATTTAAACTTTCATTTCAAAATCAAATGGTCAGATTGAGGAAGAGGGCATCAGATCATAGAAGTGAAATATTTTGACAATAGTTTGTTTTATTTACTAAGTTTTAAAAATGCTTCTAAATCAAAGTCACTTCGATTTACTACTTACATTGATTCCACCTGAACAGCTAACAGAGACAGCCAACTTAACGGGTACGATGAATGACAATTGCGTACGGACGGCTGGCACAACGGGAACGATACGTTTTTATTTTCTCTCGCCGTCTTTCCCGTGACTGAGAAAGTTATCTTTTTACCTGCTTCCTTTCAAACAATCAAGGCAAGGGTTTTATCCAAATTAAGAGGCCGGGGTTTTGCACGGGGTTGAAGCGATACTTTTTAGTTGTACACGAATGAATACGCTTTTTAAGTTGAACGTATTTTTTTTTTTTTTTTACTGTGGCATCTCAATATTAAAAAAAAGTTTGTTTAGATTCAAAAGATTTTTTTTTTCATTCAACTAACTTAAAACTTTTAGGCTAAAAGTTAAAAACCAATGTAAAATATCGGTAGAATCTTTATTTTATTTTATTTTTTTTTAAATAATAATTTCTCGTTCTTTATACGAACAGAGGATTCTCTCCTTCAAATCAATAAGTTACCGTAATGATTTAAATTTTAAAATCTAGAATTTTCAATTTTCATCATGCCGACATTTCATTTATTAAAATTTGACTTAAGTCAAACCATAACAAACATTTTTTTTTTTTTTACTTAAAAACTTAAGAGAAAAGAAAAGCAAGGTAAGCATCTTCTTACTTCAATAATTGCCGAACAAAAAAGTAGGTAATGTTTATTTGGGAAGTAGCCTACAGTTGCCGGATTATAAAAAAATGTATTTTATTTTTATGTATTATGATTTCTCAATCATTAATGAATTATTAATCTTTTTGATGACATTTAAGAATATTGAGTTATAGAAAAAAAACTGAAGGATGGACTTACTTTAAAAAAAAAAAAAAAAAAAAAATTTAATTTTGCGTGTCATAAGATTCAGAAGATTAGTTTTTCTCATTTTAGTAATAGTTTTTTATGTACACATTTTTGACACTAATTCAAGTAAACTGGTCCGCCTGTAAAAAAAAAAAAAAAGGGGGGGGTGAATTGTGGAGAAATAATTTTGTTTTTTGTAGATTATCATTTTTTAGAGACCTTTCTTCTTTAAGCAGCGACATTTATCAGAATAGAAAAATATCGATTTATTTTCGATTTAGAATGGGGCCATGTTTACTTTAAACTTTATGTGTATTAATAAGTTTTTAATTTATTTTTATACTTACACTACTACAGTCTTTTAAAACATTTCCCTATTTTTATGAGTGGTAACTTAGAGCACATTTTTAAAACTTTTTTTTTTTTAATCTTTCGGAATTGAATTCAAAACTTCAATTTCTGGCCAATAACTAGTTTGTATTTTGTTTAAAAAGAAAAAAAAAGTGTACGCTTTTTAAATAACACACCCTCATTCCAAACTTTTTTCTTAGTAACTAAGTTTAACTAATTTATTTAGCGTTAAATAAAAAAAAATCATACATATTTTTTTTTGTAATTGTGTACTGTACTTAATTCCAAGATTTTACAATTTTTTTTTGCTTAAAAGATCTCTAGTCATACACATGTACCATTCAGTTTTTTTTTTCATAACGTTGTTGACCAAAAAAATTTAAACATTTAAAAAAAATAAGTACATTACTCACCATCCATATGTATTGTAAACAAATAAAGATTTTTTTTTTTTCAAAGTCAAAATTTTCTTTACTTAGTTTTTAAGTTGTCTGTGATGGTTATTTTTTATTTTAATAATAGTAAGTAAATTAAATCCCCCCGCCCCCAATAGTTAAATACAGGGTATGATTCTTTTTAGGACATCGTGTACCAAACACATTTTGGTGTCCGGCGACTCTACCAGAAATTCCATTCCTCTTGTTTGTAATTGTACTCAAACAAGTGTATTGTAACATTTTGATTTCTATCAGTTCTTAACGAAAGACCAAAAAATTCTTCCTGAATGTTCCTCAGTCTAAAAGAAAATGTTCATTGTAATTACGGAAATATTAAATAAAATGAGAAAAAAAAACTGCTTAAGACTTCTTAAGCAATGACCACCAACTGCTAAGATTAGAAATCGGCGTCTTACACACAAAAAAAAAAAAAAAAAACTGTAAAAGTTTTTAGATAAATTTTTAAAGGTTTAAAAGAAACAAAAAAACTCAATTATAACGGGTCTTTATGTGATACGCATCTCAAATCTTTGAAGTAACACGAACACCTTTCTTTCACCTAACGATTTATTCATTGGTTTTTCTCCCTATTCATGTAGAGCCAAAGAATTGTACCCAAATCCAAATGCGTCTACTCTACTTCTAAGTACATAAGTTCTTACGCCAGCCCAAATTCAAGTGTGTGCGTGTGATATTTGGAAAAAAAAAAGCGTAAAATATATATCAAAGAAAAAAATGATTATGAATCCAAAACAATTATTCATTTTTAAAGTTGCCACAAGCAATTTAAAATTAAAAAGTTATGCTAATTTAATTACCGTGCAGGAATAAAGATCCTCCATAGATTAGGTCGCAACTGTTAGAAGCCGTAAAAAACAGTGTTGGTATTTCTCAGTCAAGCTTAATAATTTTTTAAGCACTTGCCAACACTTTTAGTAACTTTATAATGCTTGAAAAGTGCTCTAACTCACTTCATGGTTGGACATTAGATGGAAATAAAAGTAGTCCTAATTTATAGACATTTTTTTTAATTTATTCACTAACTTTAGTGAACTTTTTAGTCTCTAGAGCTAAAAAATATGGGGGGAGGAAAGGTTGCTTGTCTGGCTACATACAACGTTAGCATAAAAATTTAACCTTTCACATGAACTAAAAAACACTCTGATCACTGATATCAGTTAGAGCAGATAGATACATCGATACTACAGCCACTATCACAACCTTTCCCTTTTTTCTTTCGTTCCTTTTCAATCTAGGTTGAATTATTAGCGAGAATGAGCTGTATCAATCATTTCATAACGAACCTATTGGCTGGGGCATTGTTTTGTAACTAAAGACATTGTTACTCGTCCTTCCAAGCGTATCATATGTCCCCCTGAAAATTAACCTTTGAGCCTTGACCACCTCTTTACCGGTGTTAGGGAAAATGACCAGCCGCCGGTTGAACGGTGGGTCGTAAACAAAACACTATTTTTATGTCTACCGTGAAACATTACATAACAATTATTTGCGAATTTTGATTCAGGAGCAGAATCCTGATGCAGAAGGGTTAAAAAAAAAAGGTTTAGGAACGCACGGCTCGCAAGGATCAAATCCATTTTGTCAGAGATTGGTAAACAACCTTTTTCTGGTCCCCAAGGGGAATTTTAATATAAATTTTATTTTTCTCTGTCTTTTGTTTGAGTGCTTTCGATTTTCATAAGACGTTATCAAAAAGTTCTATTTTTGTATTAATGGGATTTCGGTTGTGTTTACTTTTCCGGATGTCATGTCAAGTTTTTTCAAGCATTGCGTTTTCACGTGTCAGTTTGTGGCGTCATGTTTTTTTTTTATAATTTTTTTTTTCACTTATATGTACTAATACCCTTGGGAAAGGTATGAATCCTCTTCTTCTAAAGCTATGGGTAAATAGCAGGACAGACCGGGTTCTATAGCCTTGGATGGAAACTGGTCTACCGCAGAAAGAAATGGCAACCCACTGCAGGGAAAAATCTGCTTCGTCAGTCATGTATCAAAAGATACATGATCGCCTAAGTGTGTATCAAACATGGCACATAACTGACTGAGTAGTTGTGAAATAAAACATTTGTTCCTAAATTGAATGAATGTTGGCTTGATTTTTTTCTCCATGGCAAGACTTATTTAATTTGTAGTCATCTTTTGCACAGTTTATGCAGTATAATATATTTGTGTTATAATTATTTGTCAAATTTCTTGATAGACAATTTAATTGAGCTGTTACATGTTAGTCTGATACATGGGCAAGCTAACCAGCGCTATAATGTAATGATTGTGTAACCAAAGTATTTGTTGCTTGAATTGATAGAAATGCATTCTTCACAGGGCAAGTGAATTCATAGGCAACATTGTTTTGTTGAAGTTTTTCCTTTTCTATGGTTAGTGGTTGATTATTAGAGATTTTTAGTCTTTGTAGTAAGTGATAAGTTTAATTTTTGTATTTTTATAGGTGACTAGCAGTAGAGCCCGGCGTTGCCCGAGGATGTAACAGTAAGAGATAGATCAAGTATCAACCATCATAAAGACTGAAAAATAAAATTGACAAAGATTATTGTTTAAGGTTGACGGACACGCATGTCTTAATTAGTTTTTTTTTTTTTTTACGAACTGGTCAAACCCAAACGCAAACAAAAACATTGTTTTCAATCGTTATGAGTCTATCGATTGAATAGAATTTTATTATAAACAATTGTCTTGTAAATGGAATTTTTAAAGCATTCTGAATGTAAAAATAAAGAAAAAAGTGTGCAAGACAATAAGAAACACTACCTACCAAAAAAAAGTGAAGTTTTGTTGAAATCGGTTGAAAAATGTAGGAACTCCGATCCCATATATAAACGAACACACACACACACAAAAACAACCTGGGTTTTATAATAAGTATAACTCGATATGAGTTGTCCCCCTTTCATTCTCGCGATTAATCGTGTTTTCAAATTGATTTTGTGCAAAAACAATTGTGTTTTTTTCCAATTTTTGGCGCTGTTAGAACCACCGCAAGGTAATTTTACGTAGTCCTGTAAAGTTTTGTTGAAATCGGTTGAAAAATGTAGGAAATCCGATCCAATATATAAACGTACAGACACACACACACAATCTGTGTTTTATAATAAGATATTTATTTATTTATTAATTTTTATTATAACTATTCTTATCCAGTTTGTACTTATTGTATAGTTGTTTTTTGTAGGATAGTTTCAAGGGTGATTTTTAGGTTATTATTTGTGGCATTAGTATTTTTCTAAAGCTTAATTTGTTTATCTCTTATGTGGCAAGGGAAATTACTTCTAATTAATGTCTGCATTATCTTTTTTAGTTTGTTATTAAATGTTGTGCATGTAGATATTATAAACGCATATGTTTGCACAAGATAAACAAAACAAGTACTGCCAGTGAGAAGATAAAGAAAAGACAAGTTATGTTAAAATAAAATTCTTTGTATTGACAAGAGGATGAAGGCAGAATGTCGGATACCCCCATATATAATCCTGGGTATGACGATAAACTACATCTGGCAGCAAAGGGCCGTTGTTCCCTGGTTCAATCTGACTCGGGGATAGTAGCACCTGTTATGGTCCCAGATATGGGCAAATAGTAAAACCAATAAGAAAAATTAAAACACTAGGAAAGTATAAAAATACCAATAATACTTTTATCATCTACAAACTATACATCTAAAAACATACATTTACCTTGAATGTATAAATTTATTTACAAAATATTTACTTGAAGGCATAAAATTTTGCTTAAAATATATGCAGTTGAAGCCATAAAATTGCATACAAAATATTTACATTGCATCATTAAATAACTCATAATGGTTGATATACTGCTAAACAAAAACAAACAAACAAACCAAACAAAAAATAAAATAAAATAAACTATAAATGAAATGTTGCTGTTATTTACCACAAAATCTACTTCTGCCCTTTTTGCCAGATGATAATTTGAGAATCCAGTAGTAATTGTTATAAGATAGTGGAAGGAAGTGCTTGTCTAAGTGTTTGCTCCAGCCACCGAAATTCCTTGTTGGGTTCGATTCTCTGTCTGTCAGGCCTAGTGAACTTTCGTTTATATAGATGATTACCACTTAACATTTGACATTGTTATATCTAATTTCTCCACCCAAATCATCTTAATTTTAGATCATATTAATAACTACACAGCATTTTCTTTGTTCATAATCTTCTGTTCTCTCTTTCTGTAGAGATGATGGTGTTTTGGGGTGGATGGCATCAACATAAACAAACCCAAGCCTGCGAATAAGGCAAGATCAAGATGCCTTCTTTTTTGTAAGGATATATGTATTTTGGACGCATAGTATAACGTAAACAAAACCCCATCTCAGGTATCTTTGCTTAGAAGAATTTGTGTCACTATTTTCTGTAAGAATATGCACATATTGGACACGCAGTATGAATATAAAATAATTTCACAGGACAAAAAATTCGGTCAACACATTAATAGCATGTCTTCTTATCGGTGAGAAGTGGATAGGATGAGAAACCTTGGTTTTGCTCAATTTTACTGAATTTTGGTGAGTTAATTCTGGGTTCGATTCTTCCTGAAACCGTTCTTAAAATCTTTATTAAAGCATAATTCTTAACCAGTTTTTTTTTTCAACCATTCAACCTACTCTCCCTAGAATTTGAATAATTATTATCCAGTTAATAGTTCCTCCAAATTACCATCCTGTAAGTTCATGCAATTCAACATTTGAACAGGGTCAGTAGCCTGTTACAGCTATAAGCTGAAAGGACGTATGTATTTATGTTGATTTGGTGTGTTTGTAAAGTTGATATTTGTGTATGATAAAGTTTTTGAAGTGTGTTGTCCATGTGTGTGTATTTTAGGAATTTGTTTTACAGTAATTTTGGGTAATGTTTGAATGGTTTCACTGGATCTGGAGTTTTGTGTTTTTATATGCCCCTGAGATAGTACTGGAGGTGGCGATTTCAATGCTGGTTGAGCATTCTGCAAATGCAAAGGAGGGTGGAAGTTTGTGTATTTCAAATGATTCCATCACGGTACGGGGTGATGGGCATGAGCACGATGGGATCAGTTGGTTTCGCCATTTTCGTTTCTTCCCTGAAGTACTATGTCATTCGCCATGATGATTCCAAAGTTACTCACCCAAGGTGAACGTGATGAGAGGGTTATGGCTGATTGAGGTCGATGAAGTATAAACTTGTCTTCAACCTGTATTGAGTCTTTGTAGACAAGCCAGTTTGATTTTGTGTTCATTTTGTGATCAGCTTCATTGTTTGCAAGGGCAATGTGTTGGTGGACTTGTCTCATCAGGGCATTTATCTGCTTGTCATAAGCTCCAAGGTCGTCGTTAGTGATGTCTTTCTGTGCTAGTTTGGGCTGACCAATAACCAATGAGGACTTAGTGTGGTAACATGCCGGTTGTGCGCTTTGACTGTGGCATTCATGGAGGTAACTACGAATTTGAGGATGTCGTTCTATTCACAATGCACGTTGTCGTACAATATATAAAGAGTATTTTACTTTGTATGGTCTTGCCGCTCAATGATACCCAAGCTTTGTGACCTCCAGAGACAGTGAAGTTTCCATGTGACTGACATGTTATACTGCTTTAATCAAAATCTGTCTCTGATTCACAAATATACTAGTACGATGTCGTAAAAACCACACACTGCTAGTACCCCTGTATTCATAACACAGCCGGGTGATCTCTACACGACGAAAAAAATAAGAGCTTGCAGATAGCTAGATCATCTTCGCCAACGACACCCCTATCATGCTACCAATTGCGTATATCTCATGAACTCATCCAGGTGAATTTCTTTTCTGTTATGGAGTGGTTTCACAGTGGAGGCTTGTATTTGTACTAAGTCGGTCCTTAAATAGGTTCGACGTACAAAATGTTAGGAACTTGATATAATAGGTAATGACGCAGAGAAAATCTAGTTGTGGTCGCTGATACGGTCGTCCGGCATCGACTGACTGACCGACCCCCTGAGCGACTGCGCGACTCTTACTACTCCTACTTATTATAGGTGGGAGAGTCTATTAACTATAGAATAGGTGTGTTCCACTATACCCCCCGTCCTAAAACTTTACTCCGTAGGAGTAAACAGTTTTCTTAATTTATTTTTCATTTTTTACAGGAAATATGAAGAAAAAACAAAAAAAAATCATTTTTTTTAGCAACA